GGGCCCCTGGGCTCCTCTCCGCCTCTTGCTGGTTTTTCACACAGCTGCAAACCCCCCCACCCCTCCGAGCCCAGCACCGCCGCCACAAAGCCAGACGCAATGACGGCTACGACGCTGCTCCGGCACATATTTAAAGTTCAGGGATTTTTTTTCAGAGCCACGCTGAGTTTTAAGCGCCAAACTTTCAACATTCCCCCTGCGGCACCTCTGGATGCAAAGAGGGCGAATTTCTAAATTTGTGATGGAAACGACTCGTTTTGACTCCCTAAAGCAACGAAAGACGTACGATAAACGTGACCCCCAGGCAGGGTGGCCTCCTGTGGTGCCCTCTGAAGACGGGATGATTACTTACCAGGCTAATTGCACGCCATTCAATCTACCCATCTAAACTTCCGACAGGAGGAAACAATCAGGGATAGCTCCTATCAGGGAAAAGCGCGGCTGGGATTCCAGCTGACTATTCAGAAAGCAAAGAACGGGAATAGATGCCTCCAGGTCAGCTGCAGCCAGCGCATCTTCACGGCGTCTGTCCCCAGCTACAGCAATCGGCAGGAAGAAGACAAATGAAATTATGGGAATTTTTTAAATTCCTCTTCCCCCCCCCCCTCCCCTCACCCCGGCTTGCTGAGCGCCAGCGCTACCTCTCCTTTTGGCCACAGACTCCCCCAGGGTTTGGGATGCCGGGGGGGTGTCCTGCAGCCCTCACCCCATGCAGTGGCGATCCTGCCTGCAAAAATCCCTGTCGGAAACAGGTATTTGGGCCAAAGCACGACAACTTCAGAAGCCTCCGAGGGAAAACGCGCTTGTGCTTTGCCGGATCCGGGCACAGCAGACGGGGGATGAGCATCCCTCCACGGGGGACAGCCAGAGGAGCAGGGAAGAAAGCAGGGGCACCCACAGCCCCTGCAGAGCACCCACCCCAAGGGCAGGGCACCCACCCCAAGGGCAGGGCACCTACAGCCCTTGCAGGGCACCCACCCCAAGGGCAGGGCACCCACCCCAAGGGCAGGGCACCTACAGCTCTTGAAGGGCACCCACACCCCCTTGCAGGGCACCTACAGCCCTTGAAGGGCACCCACACCCCCTTGCAGGGCACCCACCTTCCCTGCCGGCCATGGAAACACGCGGGATGCCCAGCATGTGCCAAATGTCACCCGAGCCGTCCCCCTCGCACCCACTCCACACTCATCTCATCTCCCCCGCGTACACGCCGCCGCTGCAGCCCATCTCAAAGGAACGCTCGCTCTTCCCTAGACCTGCAGGGCCAGTAGCAGGATTTTTACGTGTCTAACCCCGGCATTCTGCTTTCCACGAAGTTCAAGCACCATATAAATAAAGTTCTGCCTGACTGGACTCACCGTTGCCCGAAAGCACGGAAATACACCCGAAAGGCAAACAGCTCCCTTCTAAAAATGCACACCAAGGAATTCAAGCTACAAAGTATTTACTTGCCAGGGAAATCTAGCATTTTATAGGAATATATAAATAAGCCCAGCGCTGAATATAAATGTTATCCTACAAGGCTGCCGGTAAACCAGATGGTTGGGAGGTGGATCTGGTGCCTGAGGGCTGAGCCCGAGGAGCATCGCAGGGAGACAGAGGCAGCCCCGGGCAGGAGCGAGGGTCGGCAAAGCTCTGCTGCCGAAAGGGCGCCGGGAGAGGCCAGCAGCTGCGGGGCAGCGCAGTGGCGGGGGGACGGTGGGGCGGCCCCGGGGGACGGGCAGCGGGGTTAAGCACGGCGGGGCCGCACTTACTTTGAGCAGCTTGCAGCGGGTCCGCGCGGAGACCATGTGGCTGGTGCGGCGGG